AGCCAACAAACCAACACCAGATAAAACCACACTTCCATAACCATGACGCTAAGAATCACTGCTTTCCTGTGATCTCAGCTGCTTACCTCACCAGGCAGCACGTATTAATGAAACATAATGAGCTTTATAGAAGGAAAACAGCAGCAATGAAAACCACCCCACTACCCTTCCAGTAGCACAAACGGAGAGCCAAGATCACTAGAGACACTGGCTGCTGAGTTTCCATATATTGATAAATGCTTTCCATATGTTAGTCTCATTTTACCTTTCACAACTATCAGGCACAAGTTATACCTGGAGGCACTGGGGCTATGACAGTAGCTGTATTTCATCACTTCTTTTAAACAACTATCATCTTTACTTAGGGAACCTCCTCAGATTTATATCTAACATAAAACTGTCCCAAAACAAAACACTGGGGTCAAAAATATTCAACCTTCCAGCCAAGTGAAAGCTTTACACGGTGGTATGTGGATCAAATGCAGACTTTGGATTGCCAGGGAGAACCCATTACTGAGATGACACTGGTTTTCTATTAGATTGACAAGGTAAAAGACACAGTCACAATGCACATACTTACAAGCCACGGTGAAACTGTAAAGTACAACAGACATCTCATTCAGTCTCCTTTAACAAGGTACCATATGGAGCCTGTAATCCAAGTTACACTTACTAGAAGAGGGAAGACTCCTCCAGATTATTACCCAGCAGTAAGCACTTCCTACTATGTATGGCTTGTTAAATAACGGATAGAAGGCATACAGTACCTTTCTTGTTTAGCTGCAGCACAGAAGGAGGTGGAGTGGCAACTTTCATTGCTAGCCCGTAGGCTCCCCGGAAAGAATGACTGTCTCGAACAATGAATGACCCAGGTTCCTTATCCTTGAGAACAGCAATGGCTGCAAGGGATTCCAGGATAAAAGAGAGAAAAACAGTTCCAGAACAATGCACGAACCCAAAAAGTACAGAAGTGCAAATATATAATTAGTAGGAGATTAACAGAAATAAGATCCTTTTCTCTGCCTCCATTGCTGTAGAATAGAATACAGTCAAGCATATTTGCTGGATCTGAGTGGAAACATCTTGTACAAATCTCACAGATGCTTATTTCAAGAGTAGCCTGAAGTACAAATCCCTACTGATTTTTAAACTGAGAAGGACATGCAGGTCCCACTAGGATTCCTACAACCACTGCAAGAACAAGTTGATTCCTGCTTACATTTTGTCAACTTGTTAGAAGCATGACAGAGAGCATAGCTCTCTGCAATTCCCAGGTTGACTAGACAGCACTGTTTTTCTTTTCCTATGCAGCTTCAACAGGCAGAACGGATCCATTTTCATCCACCACCAAGTTTCTGCTCCTGCAAAGCAGTCTCACTCCTTTATTAGTTTTAAAGCAACGGAAGAGACGTAAATGGTTATTTGCTCTTTGACTGTCCAAACGTTGAAGTATTTTACATGTATATTCTGTGATCTCTGCTGGAAGTGTGATATGAACTCCTCCCCAGGAGGAACCATTTGCAAGGAAACTGCTCCTGCTTTGCATGAGTCTGCTGCAGACTTTGAAATCTAGTAGCTCAAAATCTTAAACTCACTTTGAAAAAAAGAGCAAAAGTTCATCTAATGATTGATCTTAATTTGATCTTAATAAAACCTTAGTACTTTGCTTTTTTTTCCCCCCCTTATACTTTTTGGAAACACTTGTTTGTTTCCAGAATTTCTAGCAATCAGCAAGCCTTCAAAGAAACCCTGGAAAAAGCCCAGATTTGACCCTGGGGTCCTTAACTGTCTGTATACACAGAACACAGAAATTATACATATGGGGCATGAAACCGCATCTTGCAAGGTCTGAGCAATGATTACATACATTTTTCTACGAAAAAAAAGAGTATTAACTGAAAACTGGGACAATGCAGACATAATTGTGTCTCCTGTTTAAGTTACTAAAGCAAATGTGTATATATATTGATCTATTCATCTGTCAGATGGTGAAGAAAACAACTGTTTTCACAATAATCTGTCACGTGTTGAGAGGATGAATATATAGAATTCCGCAATCCAGTAGTACTCGCATAACACTTGTAAATCCGCAGGGGGATGGTAATCATTTGTCACAGGAGCAGTCCATTAAGTACAACAAAAAGAAAAAGCGCTCCCTCTCCACAGCAACAGTAACTTAAAGCATGTTTTAAAAGGAATTTTAGTTGGTAGGGTGAAAAGAGGCATACTAAAAGGTTGGGAAGACTTTCTTTTCATTTGTTTAAGCAGCTAGGTTTAAACTTCCTTTACGATCTAGTCTCTCTGGACTCTCATCAAGTCAGAAAACTTTTTTTCACATTTAAAGACTCAGCTCTCATTATAGGTGGGGAGCAGGGAAGGGGACGAGTGAAAGGACCAGTAAAACATCATCCAAAGATGAATTAATGATCTATTTTCTATGATCTTTATTCCCTTGGGCTCGTATTTACCACTACACTGTAAGAGGCACCCTCACCATTTGAGAAACTACGAACTAGACAAACATAGCAATTCATCGTTTGCCAATAGCTGAAGGCTATTTTGGTTTAGTGTGAACTTCCTTCCCAATGCAGAACTAATTCGTCATTTTTCCTTTTGACTACCACATTTTAAGAATCCCAGTTTAAAATCCTGCCATAACTCATTAAATACAGTTCAGCATAGCTGAATTACAATACAGACACACGGACCATCAGACCAATTACGTTTGCAAAGCACCCGGCATGCTTTATTTACACATTGTTGCAGGGACAAAGTGTAAGTTCATATGTATACATTTTCACATACATAATAAAAGCTTTCTCCACCTCATTCAATAATACATCTACATATAGATGTAGTATACCTGTATTGTACATCATAAAGCTGTTGTTCTGTGGGAGTGTTATTTCGTGACCTTTAAGAAACAATGTATGTCACTTGCAGCTGACAATGAAATTCAGGCTACAGAATGACTGGTAGATGAGGATGCTTTTATGATGTATTAGCTAATGAATTATTCTCTGATATTTAGCATCTCTCAACCTATTATCTATGCAAGGGAAACACATATGGCTGAGATCATGCCAGGGCAGCACACTGATGGTATTGCATCACGCATATCTGCCATTCCAAAACCTGGAATTTTCCAGTAAAGTACATTTGCAGCAGCTACCACAGGCAGATTTAAATTACTTTGTAGTTAGTTCAGTTAGGTTAATAATTTGTCTGATTAACTGAGTATTTTTTAAGGACTATTTCACTGCCCTCCACTCTGAAATTCAGCCTTTGGACAAAAGAAATTAAGTGAGATTGTCTGTGGCCCTTGTAGGTTTTATATTTCTTCTTGTATTTCTTTTAGACATCAGGCATGCATCAAAAACATTTAAGGAGAATTCACCAACTAGCCTTTCTGTGAATGGATTGCCAGAATATATATCAGTTGATATACCTTGTTCTCTTGAAATATCTGGCTTATACCAGAACTTGGATGTGTCCTGGACAAATTTTACCGTCACGTGTTTATCAGTTGTGTTTTCTGTGAAATAAAAGGGAAAAAAAAGGTCAGGAAATTTTTTAAACACAAAAGCATTTTTTACTTTTCTTTCCAGCTTCCAATAACCTTCATTTTTCAAAAACCTCATGACTAGAGAAACTCTGAACTGTTTTAGAACCAGCAAATGTAATACCGTACACTAAGATTCTGAAAGCATTCTTGAAGTTTCATTTTGCAAAACCCATAAAATATGACAAACTCTTACATCTATAAAGCTGTATTAAATACAAACTTCTCAATGGGGTCCAGTGAATACACATCTACATTTTAAACTCTTCTTGATGCAAGTCTAGAAGTGTGCACATAGAAGTCAGCCCTTATTAAAAGAAGTTGGACTTCACACGGCTCACTTGCGGTTTGGCAGTTCAAAAGGTAGGCTGCCTTTGGGTGACATCTAGGGAAGCGCAGAAAGAATTCTGCGGCCTTGTTCTCTGTGAACTGGTGCCACTGACTGCAAATATTCAAGTCCACTTTGCCATTTTCATTCCATTGCTTTTTATTTTTTTCCCCTCTCCACTTTTAAAATCCCCTAAATGCTTTTTATGAACTTACATATAAAATCTAATGTATTTTGCATTTCTCTGATCCAGAACCTACCTGACACTGGGGAAGTGCTTAACATTTTTGAGAAATCTGGGAGGACATTTGGGAAGGGGATGCTGATTGTGCTTCCACTGTGGGGGCTGGAGAAGCCACTTGAAGAAGGTGACACGGAGGCAAAGGAACGGTCTCCCTCAGAGGATCTCTTTTTCTCTGGAAGAGGTGGTTGAGCATGCAGGTTCCCTCCATGGTGCTGCTGAACTGGACTGTTCTGGCTATTGTGTCCAGAGGCCGCTGTAAGAAAATTTTGTGTCAAAAAGCCATTGTCGTCGGCACTTGCCACTGATGAGCTCATGGTTTTAGAAGAGATGCTACTATTGGCTATGAAAGCAGCTTGTTTCTCCTCTCGAGGGGAGCTACTGCCCCTGTTGCCCGTGCTGTAGCTCAGGTAGGCCCGGGCACTGCTGCTGACAGCAGGTTCTTGCTGTGGCTCTGCTGGTGAATTCTCCATGCTGCTCAGGGTGACAACTTGCAGTCCTGGACTTTGGAAATGAGACAAGAGGGAGACATCTTGCACTGCATTTGAAAATTCAGAAGGCACAAGGCAACTTCCTGGCGGTCTGCTGTTTCCCACTGAAAGCTGGAGTGATGGGGAAACTTTAGGGCTGCTTTCAAGCCAAGGACGTTCTGTTGCAGAAGAGCTGTCAAAAAAAGCCAAAAATTGAACACAAAAATAAAACAACAGCCAAATCATTCCCTTAAAACATCACTGTACAACCTGTACTGCAGTAATCTCTGAAAGCAATTAATTACTTCACCCAGGACAACACTTGCTGGTGCTCTTTGACAACATGCTGGACCTGGTGATGCAGCTGGATCAAAGGATTCCAGCCCCACCCCAATCACTCATTTCTTCAGTGTAGATCATTATTTCCTGCCTCATCTCACCTTCTACCTAGCCATGCTGATGAGATTCTGAGTTTGCACTGTAAATCAGGCCATCGAATTAATCACTGTTAAAAATACTCCTCCGTCCCCTGTCTGAGAGGGTTACTTTTAATATGAATCAATTCAGTGAGGCTGTTCACAGCACTGCTTCAGGTACAGTGGTCCTGGAGATCTCTACATGGTGAGCTGAAGTGCTACCTGGAGAAGAGCAGCAGGAGGTAAGAATTTCTTAAGCCAAGGCTGTCATTAATGGCAGGTTCATGAAGAAAACTTATGCTGCCACAGCAGTTCTTACATGCAGAGTTTCTTATGCTCATTTAAAAAAATAAGAAATAAAAAAAAAAAGAAAAAAGAAATGTGCTAAGGAGGTAGTTGTGCACCATCACACAATAAATAACTAACTACGATAAGAACACAGTTCACAAGACCCAACTCTTAGACCAGGTTCCTTTTAATACAATTTATATTTAAAAAGGGAGGCAGGTCCAGTGGTTAATTTATCTGATGATGGAATCATTTTGATGGATAGAATTAAATATTTCAACAGTAAACATCAGATTTTTCTACTGGGTAGCAATTCCACCTGCTCAAGTGAAGAATAACAAACATCCTTCTAAACAAGACAAACTAAACTTCTGGTGAAACCATCCGATAAAAGTTTGAATTGCATCCTTGCTTCTAAAAGTGAAATGCCCTTAGACTGTAGATGGAAAAGATTACCAGCAATATTAAATGCAGAGAGAACAAAACTCATTGTGAGATGCAAAGGGAAAAGAGTTGACATAAGACATATTAAAAAAAGAAAGGATTTTTCATTAAAAGGGAACTGTGGAAATGGATACCAGTGATTTTAACAGATCACAGTGGGCCATAAAGAAATGGAAGGGAAGCAAACGGAAGAAGACATCATTGCAAGAAAAAAAACCCCACAGCTGTAGCTATCTGCTAGATGAAATGAAAAATGACAGAAAAAATATTTAGAAAGAAGGGAACAAAATCTTCTAGATAAAGTTGGAAGTAGGAATGTAAACTTGATAATGACTGCATTGCCTGATAAGCTTTTAATTCATATCTACTTCTAATGAAATGTTACATTGCCTCCTCCTCAGAAAATATTAACATACTTCGCTCAGTCTTATGATTCACATTCACAATCACAAAACGAAAACATTCTTTCACAGTCCAAGTACTGATTGAAAATGAAATCAATTAGATGGGAAGATAAATAAAAGATAAATAGGTATCAACACTCTTGAAGTCCTGAGAGTTTGACACATCAACCAACAGCACTCCAAATACTTACTGTGCAGAAGAAGTCAATTATCCAAGTACAAGAATAGGACAACTATCACAAAGGAATGTTGTTGCACAGTGATAGAAAAGGAAACCTAATCAGCTGTAATGTAACACCTCATTTATTAAGTAAATACAGGGCACAGCTAATGACTGACCATTTATTGTCATGGCCTTCTGAACCTTCTAACAGCAACCTGGGACTTCTTGTTTGTTTTCCGTGTTTCCTGCTATTTCTCATCTTATGCTGTAAGCTCCCTGGGACAAGGACTACTTTGTAAATTTATAGTATTCAAGCTCTGGTCCAGAGCCCTACATGTTTACCACAATACAAATATGAAATAATAAAATCTTTCAAACTGCTCAGCAGTTGAAAGGGAGTCAGTTATTTACTACCAAAACCAAATCCTCTGACATTTAACTGACTAGAAATGCATGTACTGCAGTGAGAACAATGCGCCCTCTCTCTCCTATACAACTTATTCCAACGTGAAACTTCATTAAATGCTTTTCAGTAAAGCATTAGAGAAGCTGGTTAAGCACACAGGAAAATATGTATGAGCTTGTGCTAGCACATAATAACGTAACTGAGTTATAAATTCCTATTTATTTTTGAATCCCTATTTATCTTCAAAGCTAACTGTGTCCCTGACATATAAATAACATCTGTGTACGTGGTAAATTCCAGCTGGTGGACAACATCATCATCATTAAATGTCACAACCAAACTCAAAGTCCTTGGACAAATGCTCTGCAATGAAGATGCAAGCATCTTGGCTGGAAACCGTAGTTATGAGAACTAAACAATAAGGTAGGAGAATCTTTTCCTACCTTTCTCCCCCTGGGATAGGACTGTTACTTGAAACAGTACACGAAGATGCGAAACAGCGCTGAAAGGAGGGATCCGTCTGCATGTTGGCCCTCAGCAAAGCAGGGTTAGTGCCCACAGTGCCGTCAGATATCACCAGGGAGTGGTTAATGGCTTCTGTGTAACTTCGAGATTCTGCAGCAAAGGAAACAAAGTAAAAGGCAATTTAAAAAAAAACTCACATCTTTATGGACCTTGTACTGAAAGACGTGTTTGTAAAACAAACTGTTTTTCTCTTAATAGGACTATAAAGATGAATTTTTATTTGTTTGAGCAGTAATATTTTATTTAACATTACACTGACTGCTGAAAACATCCAGCAGGACAGATAGCAAAGGGAATAAAGATTATAGAACTGCACCAGGCAAACTGATCGGTTCTCTAGCCCTAAAGATGAGAACAGACCTGTCTGTTCCAAGTTGTTTTGCATTTCACAGTCCAGTGTTAATCAGATATGTCCAGTCAAGTGTCCTATGTGACCATACACCCTGACAGAGGGATCAAAAACTGGAGTATTAATTCAGCCTGCCCATTCAGCCCACTGCTAAATGGGGCAGGGGACCTGCTGGAAAATGACATTGAAAATGCTGAGGTACTCAAAACTTTCCTCACCTCAGTCTTTACCAGTAAGACAGGCCTTTGGGAATCGCAGGCCTCTGAGACCACAGGAAAAATCTGGATCAAGGAAGACTTACCCTCGGTGGAGGAGGACCAAGTAAAGGAGCGCTTAAACAAACTGGACATATATAAGTCCATTGCGGCCTGACAGGTTGTACCCATAAGAACTGAGGGAGCTGGGCGATACCACTGCAAGGTCACTCTCAATAATCTTTGAAACGTCACAATGACTGGGAGAGATTCCTGAAGACTGGAAGGGAGCAAACATCACTTGTGTCTTCAAGAAGGACATGAAGGATAATCCAGAGAACTGCAGGCTTGGCTAGCCTAACCTCAGTCTCTGGGAAGGTGACGGAGCAACTAACCCTGGAAACCATTTCCAAACACATGTAGGAAAAGAAGATGACTGAGAGTTATCAGCATGGATTTATGAAGGGGAAACCATGCTTACCGACCCTGACAATAGACTTCTTCAGTGAACTGACCAGTTTAGCGGTTAAGGGAAGAGAAGCGCATGTTGCTTATCCTTACTTTAGTAAGGCTTTTATCACAGTCAAAGCTGACAAAGCATGGGTTAGATAAGTGGACAGTCAGGTGGATTGAAAACTGGCTGATTGGTTGGGCCCAGAGACTTGTAATCAGCTGCACCAAGTCCATTAGGAGGGAAGTCACTCGCATTATACCCCAGGGGCCAATACCGGAGCCAATATTGTTCAACACCTTCAGTAACAACCTCGATGATGGGATAAAAGTTTCATCTGCAGGTTTGCAGGCAACAGAAAACTGGGAGGAGTGACTGATAAACCAGATGGTTGTGCAACCATTTAGAAGTGGGAGAAATGGGCCAAGAGGAATCTCAAGAAGTTCAGCAAGGGGAAATGCAAACTCCAGCACCTGGGAAGGAATAATCCCAGGAACCAGTACATGCTGGGGGCCAACTGGCTGGAAGACAGCTCTGCAGAGAAGGACCTGGGGGTACTGGTGGAGTACTGATCAGCTGACCATGAGCCAGCAATGCAACCTCATGGCAAAGGTGGTCAACAGTATCCTGGGCTGGATCAAAAAGAGTGTTGCCAGCAGGTCAAGGGAGGTGATCCTTCACAGAATCACAGAATGATTGAGGTTGGAAGGGACCTCTGGAGATCACCCAGTCCAATCCCTCTGCCAAAGCACGGTCACCTACAGCAAGTTGCACAGGAACACATCCAGGTGGGTTTTGAAAATCTCCAGAGAAGGAGACTCCACAACCTCTCTGGGCAGCCTGTGCCGGTGCTCTGCCACCCTCAAAGTATGGAAGTTCTTCCTCATGTTCAGGTGGAACTTCCTGAGTTTCAGTTTGTGCCTGTTACCCCTTAATCTGTTGCTGGGCACCACTGAAAAGAGTCTGGCCCCATCCTCTGGACACCCGCCCTTAAGGTATTTGTAAGTATTGACAAGGGTCCCTCTCAGTCTTCTCTTCCCCAGGCTGAACAGACCCAGTTCCCTCAGCCTTTCCTTGTAAGCCTTTCCTCTCTGCTCAGCATTCATGAGGCCACATCTGGAGCTCTGCGCCCATGTCTGGGCTCCCCAGTACAATAAAGACATAGACTTGCTTGAGGAAGTCCAGCACAAAGCCACAAAGATGCTTGGAGCATCAGTGGGACTGGAGTATCTTTTATAGGAGCAGGGGCTGAGAGAGCTGGGACTATTCAGCCTGGAGAAGAGAAGGCTCAGGGGTGATACTACCAATGTCTATAAATACCTGATGGGAGGGAATGAAGATGAGTGAGCCAGCCTTCTCTCACTCTTCTGCTTACAGGAGGAGAAAAGAACAGAACTGGGGTTGAAAGGCCGTTGAGCAGCACAGGGTTTAGTTACCAGTGCAGCTACAGATTTCAGGTGTGACTTTGTTCACACCACACAGACAAAAAAAGTAAAGCAACTGTAAACTTTGATTTTCTAACAGCTTGCAAACAGTATCGGAGTAACTGGCTTCTAAATTGATTCAAGTCTGAACTATGTTCAACTTAATTATACTGGACATAAATAATATGGGATATAGTTAAAACAGATGCACTTGGATGAAGAATAATGCAGAAGCTACTACTGGAGAACAGGAACAGTTTAATCCCCTTCTTTACAGGTACATTTTAATAATCAGTCAAGCTCTAATGAGGATTACATTTAATTATTCTGGCATAGTTTTAAGATAGCCAACACCTATTCACATAAGCCCAGGTTCAACAGCACTATTTTCTACCACAGAAAAGGCCACGCACTGAGATACTGCAAACGCCATCGCATCTGAAGAGCTTCATACACCTGAATAGGTCCTTTGCCCTCAGCTCTTGCAGGACTGGAACCCAATAAGATGATTACAAATGAAACAATCTCTAATTACTGTCTCTTGAGTGGATACATTTCAAAAGATTGAGGGAGAAAAAATACACCAGAAAGTAACAGAACAATTGCAGTCCTACAAAGAGTTAAGATCACCTTAATGCATCTTTTCCATAAGGAAATCTTTCTAAAGTAAAAAGGAGGAAGGTTCTCACTATTTCTGTGAACGCCACTGGAACAAGTCTAAATAAATACTCTTTTCCCTCCAATTCATGGCAGAGCCTGGCTCTGCTATTATTTGAATGAGGGGTGTGCAAGAAATGCCTGAGATAACAAAATCTGCAAATCAGCACCCTGACTGAAAAACATTTGAATTCCTCACATAGCACACATACTGTAAGGAGCAAACATTTAGCTGGATGAGGGTTACATTAGAAAACTGCAACAACTGTCTTTTAATATCATTATTATTACTGTGACTTTCATACTCATTAACTATATCCACGCCAGCCATAAAAGTGAACTTTATGGAAATACTGCAGAAAAGTGTGTGGTGTGGAAGAGCTAGAGAAATCTGAATCTATATCTGTCTAATAGATCAGATATATTACAGTCATTCTCCTACTGGTGCAAACACAGTCAGAAAAAGGTGGCTGCATACACCCATCATTTAGATCATATTCCTACTGAAATCAGTGGTGCTGGTTAATGCAAGTACTACAAAGATTCACTGTTTACCCAAGTATTATAGAGATTGATGTTAAGCCTTGAGCAATGATTTCAATATATAATAAAGTAATTACTACTTTGTCATAACTATTATCTGAGAAAAAGCTGATTAGCTGAAGGCAGGTTGGTCAAACTGATGTTATATGTCTGCAGACTACTACAGCTTGCCCAGAAACACAACTTTCACTAGGCTAAAAGCAGATGAACCTACTGAGAGCAGCATTTGTAAGACAAAATACCATAAATGCAACAGATATCTCATCTCTGGACATGAACCTGCAGATGCTTCCCAATTACACTGCAGGTTCAGATGACTCTTGCTACTGTACGGGAGAGGTTAATGCATTCCCTGCAGGCATGGGAATTATGATCACAAGCTTAACTCCACATACATACTTGTTTTCGTGCCTCTATTTCTGTTCCCCTGATACCAGACTGTATAGGGGAGCCCCTGGACTTCCAGTTACCATGAACCTGGGGGCAGGAAGGGGAGCACTCCTTCTGAAATAGCTTAAAATCTTCTCCCACTCTAATGCGATCTCAGCTATGTGTCTAAGAGTTAATCTAAAGCATTTACACAGCAAAGTCATCTCCTCCCATCAGTAACAGCACTGGCTTGAAGAAACGGACCAAGATTTGATTCTTCCATACTACTGTTGCCATTTTAGAGCACCCAACGTTGCGTGAGCGAAGGACTGCTGTCACGCTCACAGATGCAGCGTCTCTTTTCATACCTAATTTTCACAGGTGTAAAATACTAAACTAAGAGTAAAAAGCCACTAGCAGCCAGGCATGTAATCTGCAGACAGAACGCAAACTCTGTACAACTCTTCCCAGGTTAGAAACAAGTATATCTGAAAGACACTCCCCAAGAAAGCAGTTTTGTTTATATTTCAATTAAAAACAAGCTTGATGAGTATTTCAGCTATGTCCTCTCTATTGTCTGATGCACAGCCCACACTAACTGGTGAGCTGTTAACCCTTTGTCTCACAGAATTATTAACTCAGTGCAATCTCGTAGCTTCTGTAGGATTTCTGCATGCACAGTGCGAACTCCCCCAGCATGTTTGATGCAAAGCATCGGTGCTTCTTGCTGCAGGCTCCTACTAAATCTATGCCATTATATCTGTGAGAACAGTGACAATGTAAAAGGGCAGCTCCCTACTTAAAGAAGCTACATGACAAAACCAGATCATTCATGTTCATATCTCTTCATGCACCCCGGTCAGACCTGCATATCTATTATCACTGATCATCAACTTTACAGGCAGAACCTAAGAGAGGAAATGGACTCTTTGCATCATACACTATTGAAAAGTGACATTCAAGAAGAAAATGAATACTATTGTGTTCACATGCAATGCAGAAAAATACACAGTTCAGTCTTTTACTGTCCCACTCAGCAGGGACGGGAAAATACTTGTAAAAGCTGCAAGCTTCTTTCAGTTCTAACCAGTAACTCCTGGATGTGCCTAGGACACAGCTATATAAAGTAAGATGTTATAGATTAACCTGTATTTTAATCCACTAAATCTGTTTGAAAAGAAAAAGGAACCCCCCAAAAAAATCCACCAAAAAAACCCAGACTGGTTTAACCCACAGCATGGTCCAGATACAAGCTATGTAAAAACGTTCCTTTTCCTCTTTTTTGTAGCAGCTGAAAGGCAAAATCACCCCACAGTTTTGGAGACAACGGTCCAACAGTGGCAGGGAAGTGAAACGAGCAGTCATTCCACTATCGTACCTCGCATTTTAGCAGCTTCTCATACATTCCCATCTTTTTAGTCCTTTTTGTGAGAAGGTGATAGCTAACCTGCACTGCATAAGCTTGAAAACTCCAGTCAACGTCCTCAGTTACATCTTTTGGGGAAAGAGAGCTCTACATCACCATTCCGCTCCCAAAACCCTGAGCTGACCACCCCCAAACTACGTCAGTCTAAAAACTGCATGGACACAGAAAAACACATGCTCTAAGGAAAGCCAAATTAACTGAGCCACTGCCAGCCCTAAAGAGCAGTAGAAGGATAAGCAGATTTCTGCAATACTTTCAAATTTCACAGCCTATTTCTTGATCCATCCTTTGATGGCTT